TGAGGTTCGGAACATCAGGGCTTGTACCAGGGTGGCCTCAGTGTGGCCCTGAAGACAGGGCACCCTGACCTGGTCTCTCTTCTGCTTCTCCACCTCCACTCCTCCATCTCCTCCCCAGGCCAGCCCTGGGAATTCCCAAGTTCAGTGCAGGGTTAGAGCTGGCTTTGTGAGTTACTGAGAAAGGAATTTCTCAGGTGAGCAGGAGCCCTTATGGTACAGTAGCTAAGAGCTTGGACTGTGGAGTTGAACAGACCCAGGTTTGAATCTCGTTTCAACTTCTCGTAAGCTGTGTGACCGTAAGCCAGTAACCTCACCTCTCTGGATCCCATTTTCTTCTTTATTCCTCAAATAGGAATTAGATTAATTCTTCCTTCAAAGTATGGCTACAGAGTAAAAGAACTAGCCCAATAAAGGGCCTGTGCTTTGAAGGCGTGCAGGGAGGTAGAAGCTGTTCCTATGAATCATGTATCGTTCTGTACTCATCGAAGTGTCTCCCCTGAGAATGAAATCCCGCGAGGGAAGGCCTGTCTTCTCTCATAGTCCCTGCAACTGTTTTCCAAACTGGCATCTTCTGCACAATTTCAGGGTTTTTAAAATCCATGCACCACCTCTACTTACCATTTTTTCCTACTTACCATTTTAGTCTCTGCCTTTAATTCAACTTACTTAAGAACACATGCATTTATTGAAAAGGAAGACTTTCGAGTCACTGGTCAAAGTGGGAGGCCCATACTTGGGAAATTTGGAAAAGAGAACGCTATTATTCAAGTCTGAGGTCAAACTCTTAGTGCCAGAGGTGCTGAGCCCGAAGCCTGCTCTCTTTTTGCTCAAAAGCAACATTGGCAAGAGATCGGCAGGTGTGAAATACCTGTGGGCACCTGACCGAGGTTTGTCCTTGACTCACAAGAAGAATGGACCTGGTGCGGTTTCAGGCTCATGCACTGCCGGCTTCCGTTTCCCTCACCGCCAGGGTCCGCAGACCACCAGGGGGAAGAGGGCCTGACCCTGGGCCAGGTCTGAGGGGAGGGTCTTGGTAATTGCCTGGGTTTGAGCCTGTTTATTTAGTTGTATTTCATAAATACCCATAGTCTTTATTTCTGGGTTCCAGGCAGGATTCTAATTACCTTACATATAATAACTTACAAACAGCAACCCTGAGGAAGGTTCTCTTGTTCCCATTATACAGATGAGGAAACTGAGGCACAGGCAGCTTAAGTATCTCAAACGAGTAATGGCAGAGCTGGGAGTTGAGACCCCAGAACCAGGAGACCTGGTTCTAGAATGCTCTGGACCAGCCTGACCTTTGGCCAGCATCTTGGTGGGTGAAAGGGAGGCATGAGCACTAACTGCCCCAGGAGTGGTCTGGCAAAGGACCCTGACGGTGGTGGATGACGCTGGTTGAGAACTTGCCAATTAGAGAAGAGGGAGAGAAAGGTCATACCAGGTAGAGGCATGGAGGTAGGAATGTGTGTGGTGTATTTTGGGAGCAGCGAGTCATTGGGGTACTGGCATGTATGGGGAAAGAGATTAGAGATGAGGCTGGGAAGGCAGCCTGGGGCCAGGTTAGGACGGGCTTTGAATGCCAGGTTAAGAAGCTTCAGATTTACTATGTGACGGGCACGATTTGAGTGCTTAGCAGAATACTCTTATCTAATTCTAACTGCAGCATATAGAGATTTTGCTTTTAACGTGGCCTGAATCACACAGCTATAAATGCTAGAACTGAGATTCTGGCCCCAGTGGCCACCATTCACCGCCCATGCCCATAGAGGCAAAAGTTTGCCCTTGCTCTCTCTCTTTCTGGCTCTTGTCCTGAGATTCCTGGATATGGGGCTCCATTGAGGGGGTGAAACTCCCTTGAAATGTTGGACAGACACCCCACCCCAGACTCCTGCCATCCATCACATCCCTCCTTCTGGAATTACCAGATGGACAGAATCCCTTTGCTCCCAGAGACTGGAGACCTGGGTGAATGGAATGTCCTGAGTTGTCAGAGCCAAACTCTCATGACATACACGAGGCAACTGTGACTCCATGGCCGGCCTCTTGAGTTGAGTGGTCTGGGGAGAGAGAGAAGAGCTTGCCAGGGTCTCTGGAAAAATACAGGGACAGCGTGTTTAGGGGAGCCAAGCCTTCCAAGCTTGGGGAGTGGAGAACCAGAGGAAAGACCCTGAGAGCTCCCATCAGCCCTCAGAAAAAGCTGGTCAGAGTGGAAATGCATCAATGTGCTCATTTCACAGGTGGAGAAACTGAGGCCGGGAAAGGAACGGTGACTCAGGGTCAGAGCAGAGGAGGAGTGTGGCCAGAGGGCTCTTGTGAGACTTCGGTTGGCTTCTGGGTCACATTGAAAAACTCAGCTAGGCAGGGGACAGGGCTCTGGGAGGCGGGGAGGAATGTTTTTATCTCTCCAGGCCCCAGCACTCTACGAAATGTGCTTACGATCCAGCTCCAGAACCTTTCCAGCTTGATGTTTTCAGCCTAAACAGCAGAGTTAGAAAACAGACAGGCAATAGCCTGCAATTGGAGAGAAAAACGCCCCTTTCCCCCAATGCAAGGGTTTCCCTACGCCTCAGTGAAAGGTCCAACGCATGAAGCCAGTGCTTGGTCCCAACCAGTGTCAGGGACTCGGGGGTCGACACCAGAACAGCCCAGACAGAGGTGTTAGACTAACAGTCATCATGAGAATGGCAGTGGCTGCCGCAGGGTACGGGATTGAGGGCTCAGACTCAGGGTCAGGGTGCCTGGTTTCTTCTAGTCCTGGACACTTGCTGCCTGTGGGGGCAAGTGACTTTCCCCAGAACCTTCTGCACCTCCATTTCTTCATCTCAAAGATGGGGATCACACAAGAACCCGCCTTGTGGGGCATATGAGAGGATCAAGTGCTTCGGACAATGCCGACACAGCTCAGTGCCCCGTTCTCACTACCGAGGGCCAGGCTCTGTGCCAGTTTCCTATGTTGCATCATCTCATGTCATCCTCATGAGGGAGGTGCCATTTATTATATTAACCCATTTCACAAATGAGGAAACTGGCACAGCAAGGCTTCCAATTCCCTGTTGGAAGGGAAGTCTTTGAGCTCTAACGTTTCATGCTACTCTCCTGCCTCGACGTGGGCGCGTGGCCATACTCTTTTGTATGCCAGAGCTGTTGAGAGCTTAGGCTGGGGAGGTGGAGAAATTGAGGTACAGACCCCGCTCTGTTGCTCGCTGGCTGTGTGTCCTTGATCCACTCTGAGCCCCACTCTCCTCGTCTATAGAATGGGGGCCGTAACAACTTGCCTCCCAGATTATGGTGAGGACTAAATGAGATGATGTGTGTAGAGGACTTTGCATGGTCTTGATGCTCAGTGGCTGCTGCGTAAGGAGAGGCCTTGGCCAGTTTCATCATCATTCTCCTTACCCCGAGACTCAGTGGCTCAGAGAGGCCAGCAGGCTCCTCCTACAAGCTTCATCTTCCCCCCAGTGCCGTCTATTTTGTGCCCCTGGGTTTCCAAAGCCCAGTCTCACTTCCACCTGACTTCCTAAGTTCATACCAGTGAGTCTGTGCCATTGAGAGAGGAGTTAAAAATAAAGCCCAGCCTTCAACTCCTTCAAGTAAACACCAGCTCTCTAAAAATAGCTCCCCTGCCACAGGTCTCTCTCCGGAGCCAGGCTGGCCCAAGGGATGGAACTTGGAGAGGCTATTGTCACAGCCAGGTAGGCCCCAGGCCAACCATCCATGTCACCCCACCTGGCCTCCGAGCCTCTGGTCCTGAGGGGAGCCAAGTGCCCCTGATTGTCTCCAGCCTCTTTTCTGTCTCTCCTGCCACCAGCCCCTCTCACCACACCACACTCAGGGCCCCTCCTCCTGCCCTATACTCTCCTCACAGCTGCTGGAGTGAGCTTTCCCGCATGTAAGCCTGGTCATGCCACTCCAGTGAGCAAAACTGTCATGGGTCGTTAGTTGGATTTCCCTGAAAGCAGAGCCTGAGACAAGGATTTGGGTGCAGGTAAGTTGAGTGGGAGGTGATGCCAGGAAGGAGGAGGCGAGAGGAAGTGAGTGGGTAGAGTGACGCAGGGAAGAAGGAAAAGCCCATATAAATGTCTGTTATTGAGTCGTCACTGAAGGCCGGAGGCTGGGACCTCATACAGAACACCTCCAGATCGTGCGCCTGTGGGGTGGGGGGTGGGTGGACAAAGCATTACCCATTGGCTCAGTCCTCCATTCTTTGAAAATTCCTCCTGAGGGCATAAGAGCCCCCCCCCCCCCCCCATGCTTAGAGATGTCACACAGCATTAGAGCAGGCTCTGGGCACAAAACGGAAAGTGCCAGGGGGAGAAACTTCAGCCATAGTCCCATCAAAGGGCCATTTTCTTTTTTGTCCATCATGCTTTTTCCTGACTCTTTATCTTGCTAATACCATCTTATTCATCAGGCCTCACCCAGCTCAAATGTTCTTCAGGGAAGCTCTGAGCTCCCATCTAGTCTGGGTTCGCTGGCACCCTGTGCACTCCTGCCTCAACTGCCACCTCCGCCCTGTCTGTACTTACTCTGTTTTCCTGTTTGGTTGTTCACTACATGAAGCTGGGGCCCTGTTTGCCATGTTCACTGCTAGGTCCCAGCACCCAGCACATATGTGAGGCTCAGGGAACATGGTGAGTGACTAGTATTAGGTCTCAATCATCTCATAATGGGAGGCACCTTCCATTGGACTCATTTAAGCCTTCAAACACATTCAGCAAATATTTGTTGAGCACCTACTATATGCCAGGTCATGTTCTAGGCTCTTAGGGAAGAAAACCTAAACATCCTGGCCTGTGTGGAATTTACATTCTGTTTGGGGAGATAGCATAGCAGACATAAATTACAGAGCAAATTGCCTTTATTTTTTAAAAAATTTATTGATTTGAGAGAGAGAGAGCGAGAGAAACGATTTGTTGTTCCACTTATTGATGCATTCATTAGTTGATTCTTGTATGTGCCTTGACTGGGGATCGAACCCGCAACCTTGGTGTATCAGGATGACTAACCAACGGAGCTACCCAACTAGGGCTGCAAGTTGCCTCTGAATAAATGTCCTCCTTGAGAAAGTGACATGAAGGAGTTGGAAGAGTTAGCCAAGAGGGTATCTGGGGGAAGAGCAGCCCAACAGAGGGCAGAGCAAGGAGAAAGCTCCAAGGTGGCCACAGGCCGGGCATGCTCTAGGGACAGCAAGGAGACCAGCATGGTTGATGGGGGCTGAGAGAGGAGAGGGCAAGACTAGAAGAGGCCAGAGAGAGTGTGGGGTGGGGTGGGGTGGGGACAAATCACTATGCCAGTATGGGAGCCTTTAGCCACATGCAGCAATTTAAATAGAAATTAATTGCAATGAAATAAAAGTTCCATTCTGGAGTTGCAGTAGCCACAGGTCAAGTGCCCGACAGCCGCCGTATTAGATGGCACAGATATAGACCATTTCCCTCATTGCTCAAAGTCTGAGGGGTCATGCCTTAGCAGGGCCCTGCAGGTCATTCATTGTAGGGCAACAAACTTGCCCACGCATAACTGGGCACACATCCTGGGGTCCTTTCCTCACCTCCCAAAGTGGGTATGATTAAAGCATGCAAGGCCATTTGGTCCAGCCCCAGACAATGTCCGAATGCCTTTCCCAGCATCCTTGCCAACACAGCCCTGCAATCACTGCTTCTTTATCTCCCGGCATGGGAAACTCACCACCTCCTGAGACAGTCCAGGCCGACTTCGGACAGCTTTGCTGTTGGATTTGCTAAAACCAGAAGAATGTTCTGCCTCTTTGTCGCTTCTAAACGTTGGTCCCAGCTCTGCCCCCGGGACGGTGTCATTAGAACTGTGGTCAGTAGCAGGGGACAGAACCTGCCCATAGTGTCTTAGCCACTGGGATTATCTTCTCATCAGAAGATCAGAGAGGCAGCTCCAGGATGCCCTCAGGGACCCACCTCCACCTTCTGCTCTCCTTAGAGTGTGGCTTCTGGTCTTTTACCCAAAGATGACGCCTGCATCCCTAGCTTCACCTCTGTATACAGGGCAGAGGTTGAAATGCAAAACTTCTCTTCAGGGGAAGTAAAGGCCACCGGCTTTCTACCTCATTCTCCAGAATGGATCACGTGGCCTTCTTTTGATGCAAGAAGTCCGGGAGGTGAATATTTTTAGCTGGACACATCGCTTTCCTGAGCAAGATGAGGCTCTGTTAGTGGGGATGAAGGGGAGAATGGATGCTCGGTGAGCAGCTAGCAATGTCTGCAGAGACAACCCTGCAGAGATTTGAAGATTGTGACCTTAACAGCCCCAAGAGTCTCCTCTGATCTCGACTTCTCCAGGCCCTGCCCTCGGCTTCCGTTTTCACGTCTCCCCACTTTCTCCGTTTTCCAATTGGAGAAACAGAGGCACAGGTTTGGTGATCAAGAGCTGAGGTTTGGGGGTTGGACAACACTGGTTCCTTCTGCGCGTTGCTCTCCTGAGCCTCAGTGTCCCAGCAGGTGGCATGTGGTTGAAATCTGTATAATACTGCTGAGGGTGTGAGGGCAACAGGAGATAGCCCACGTCAGGGCCTAACCACAGTGCCTGGCGCACGGTAATGGACTACTCAGTAGTGGCGGTTGGCATTTTTATTATTCGAACTACTATTGCCCTTGCCGCATCGGTTCCTTCTGGTGTTGTTGAATGCAGAACCAGAGAGCCTACATCAGTTGAACACCGCTGGGATTGCTGCGGTGTTTCCATCATCCCAGCAATCACCCCCGGGAGAGCCTCTCCCCTTCGTGGAGAAGGAGTGTGGAGTGGGACTGCAGAGGGGAGGGAGGGGCTGCCTTGGGGATCCATCTCCAAAGCCGCTTGAGCCAAGCCACATCCTCTCACATTACTGCTGAAGTGCCATTCCCATCAGTCAGGCTCGTGAAACCCTAGCTGGGAAGGGGTATTACCGCAAGGTCACGGCTGCCCACTGCCAAAAGCCGTAACCCCACACGAGGTTGCTGTAGCTTTGCCAGGAGCCTGGCCAAGGGTGGGGTCCCTGAGCTCTGACCCGCCAGGTAGAGGGTCAGAAACACGCACAGTGGGCCCGCTAGAAGGGAAGGTGTCAGAGGCCCACTCGGGGCAGTCCCTGGGCTCCAGACCTGCAGAATTCTTCCCTGGCCACCCCCTGGGGTGGAAGCAGAGACTAGCATTGTGTGGCAGAGAAGCCGCCCTGGAGCCCTAATGATTTCCTCCTTTATTTGTTAATGGGTTACATGTCCACACCATTCCAAATCCCATTTATAAAAATGTAGTCTGTCTCCTTGTCCTGCCCTCCCCTTGTGCCACTTCCTCACCCCCTGGGCAGCTATTGTTTGCAGTTTCTTCCCTTCCAAAGGTACTTGTTGCCTATATTACGGTGGAACTTAGGAAACTGCTAATATGTGACCGTGTTTGACTTCCAAAATGTAAACTTATACAGTTCCACCTAAAATAAGCAAATGCACATTTAGACGCCAGTTTTCCTCTTTCTTACACAAAAGGGAGCATGTTAAGCATACAGTTCTGAATCTTGCCTTTTTCTCTTCACTGTGTATATATCAGAGATCTTTTCAAACGTAGAACTTCGCCAGTTTTTAACACCTGCACCGTGTTCCATTATATACATAATTTATTTATTTATTCGGACCCTTGTTGTTGAATAGGATTGTGTGGGTCGTTTCCAGAATTTAGCTGCTAGAAAAAAGCTGCACGCTCACCATTTCACCCATGGACTAGTATTTTCTAGGGTAAGTTCCCTGAAGGGCGTTCCTGAGCAAAGGCCCTCTGTAGTGGTTGTCTCTCTTTATCTTCCTTTCCACCATGTATGAGGGTGAGAAGACCCCGCAGCTGACTGCTAAGTGACCTTGGGCAAGTCCCTGCCCTCTAAGGGTCTCCGTTTCCTGGGGCACTGAGCTCTCTTTGCCTTGTCCTTGGGAAAAATAGCTGTCCCAGATTCGCCTCCTTGCCTGGCCTTTCCCATGCCCCAGCCGCGCGCAGCTCCTGTTGCCATGGCTTCTTTGGGAGATGACTTCAGCCCTGATGGAGGCCAAGGCAGCCCATGGAAGAGCAGGCAGAGGGGACCAGCATGGGCAAAGGCGCAGAGGTGGGACAGTGTGGGGTAAGGCAGAATTCCCAAATGCCAGTCACTGATACACTTTCCTGAGCCATACCATATCCATGTGCCATCTGGGTTATTATTTCCTTACTAATTTAAAATACTTTAACTTTATTAAACCTACATTTATAGCAGTGAACTTTATTTAGTTCATTGCTATAAATAGAAGTCAGTGCTATATAAAGAGAAGTTAGGAAAAAAAACACAACAACAACAGCAACAACCAGAAAATACATACACACAAGGAAAAGATAATGCAATGAAGTAAACATCATTAAACCATCCCTCAGCCCGGCTAGCATGAGAGGTCACAGTTCTATTCCTGGTCGGGGCACATACCCGGGTTGCGGGCTGGATCCCCAGTGCGGGAGGCAGCTGATCAATGATTCTCTCTCATCAATGATGTTTCTCTCTCTCCTCTCCCTTCCTCTCTGAAATCAATAAAAATATATTTAATAAAATAAAATAAGACTTTGTCATTTTCCAAGAACTACCCACAGGGAGAAGAGTGGACACCTGTATAGAGCTTGGGGTAGGGTGGGGGTGTCTTCAGCTACCCCAGCTCCTTCATGAGCAAATTGCAAGGTTGTTGTTGGTTTTTGTTGTTGTTATTGTTATTTTTTTTACACTCAGATGCTGCCCTAGACTCACTTGGAGAATTATCGTATGATAAATAAGGGAGAGGAGACCTTGCGGTCAAAGATAGCAAACCTCTAGGGCAGTGGTCCTCAACCTTCTGGCCCTTTAAATACAGTTCCTCATGTTGTGACCCAACCATAAAATTACTTTCGTTGCTACTTCATAATTGTAATGTTGCTACTGTTATGAATCGTAATGTAAGTATCTGATAATGCAGGATGGTCTTAGGCGACCCCTGTGAAAGGGTCGTTCGACTGCCAAAGGGGTCGCAACCCACAGGTTGAGAACCGCTACTCTAGAGCTTTTTTTTTAGTAACCTGTTTTTCTAAGGGGGGTTGCAGAAATTGTCCAGGGAGGAGGTGAAACACAAAGGTCTGAATTTGCTGAGACAATCAACTATTTTCTAGTTAATGTTTATTCTGAGAAGTAATATGCTTATTAAATAGCTCTTAGAGGGGTTGGGGGTGTGTGTGTGCAGAACCCTGCTTCCTGGAGTTTGCCAATTTCCCTGGTGTAAATACTGCCACTATGGCTGATTTCAAGCTATCAATGTACCAGCCACTGAATGCAGAGCTGGGAAGACATGTGCTAATGTTGCTCTCTTGGCAAGCAGGGCTTTAACGAGCAGCTCCAGCACACCCTTAGCTCCTGGCTTGATTTCTGTTTGTCTGTTCTGCTTCAAGCTGTAGCTCAGAGGTCTCTTCTGAAGGGAAGCTTGCCAACCCCTTTTCTTCCACTGGGTTCCCTATTCTAGAAGCTTCACATTCTGAACTGGATTGTTTTCTTATAGATCCTCTCTACTAGACTGTAAGCTCCTATGGCCAGAATTCTGATTCCAAGTTTCTTTATAGACCTATTGCATTGTCATATGCTTATCCTTGGTAGGTAGGCACCTAGGAAATGCTTCTAGAAGGCAGGCAAGAAAAAGGACAGAAGGTGATGGGGTTGGAGATCCTGGCCAGGAGCCAGTTCCTGATCTATGACTTGGTGGCAGTATGACCTGTTTCCTCATCTGTAAAAGGGTCTCTTTTATTTTCCTCTGCTCCAACCAAGTCAGGCCTATCGCTGCATAGTAATTACGGTAATAGTAATGGCTACTGTTTATTCATTCAGCACATTTTTTATTAAGCACCTTCTAGATCCTGTTCTAGCTGCTGGGGATTCATCAGTGAACAAAATAGACAAAAATCCATTCCGTGTGGCCCTTCCATTTCACGTTTGCAACATGCCACAAACTGAGCCGAATTTCACAGGCACCATTTCATTTGCTGTCTGGGCAACCCTGCAAGGCGAAGGTATCATTAGCTCCATTGTACTGCCGCGGGAAGTGAGGAGAAGTAGAGTCACATGAATTCCAGAGGTCAGCCGGTGTGTAAAGGGTGGTGATGGGTCTAGGACCCTGGCTTCTGGTCCCAGGAACTGGTTCTTAGCCATTGTGACATGCCCTACCCTGCCCACAGGCCCCTGTCTGCCCACTTCTCTGCCTTTGCTGAGGCTGTTCTCAGTGCCCTTCCCCACAGCGCCCTCTACCCATTTGATCTGTTCCGTGGATGCATCCCTCAGGCCCACTCATGACCTGACCGCTCCCTAATGGTGTCTGCTCTGTCTCTGGCCCTGCCTCCAAATCCTTCCTCTTTATCCAACCAGCCATGGTTGGTCACCAAGAATGGAACCCT